TTAGTCAGCGTGTGAGAGGTTTGCAAGTTTTTTTGAATAAGCTGCGTGTTAAAATGTTACGTGTATTTACAGGAAGTTAAATCAGAATTACGGCTGTGACTGACAATTATTTTGGCAGTCGATTAGTCAAATGATTACACTTGTTTTTGGAAACAGACTTTTAATCAAATTGTTATATGGTGACTCAAGGCTTCTAGATTCTGAGAAATATTTACGTATAAAGTGTGGTATTAAAATAAACCGGATTTATCATCATTCTCTTTTGAAACCTTGAGTTAATAATGTTATTGCCGTGTTTGTTATGAAAAACATTGTTTGGCATGGGTTTTGGAGTTTAATCCAAAGAACAATTATCCGATTATGAAAATATGATGATGACAACATTACAACAATTTCTATTAAGGCTGGATAATCAAATTGAAAGATCGAGAGATTGTGAATCATCCACGTCTACTATACCATTGTGGTTTGGAATGGAGAAGTGTACGGCCAATCCTTTGTAGTAAAAGCATGTGGTTTGGAGCAGACTTTTCAGGAAGAGATGTAATTATGTTGTGTTGAATAGCACAGTCTAAATGTCACCATTGTTTATGGTCATTAAATCAATAAATACTAACAGCAGTTTAGTTTTTGAAAGACTAATCAAAAATAAGAAAGATAAATCAAAAATCTCGATCAGTAAATATGAGGAAAAAAACTTCTTTTGACATATCGCCATGCCGGAATTTCTATATTTGTCAAAAAACATGTGTTGCTTATTTTCTCTACAAAAAAGTAAACAAAGTTAATTTGTGGACTTTGTCATGTATTTAATATTGATGCATACCAATATCTGCTCCAAAAACAAGACATATCAGATATCAGCATCAACACAGGAAATAAAACAAATCAGTCCATGAGCAATAACATCAAATTGGGAAAACGAAACTATCCCTAAACACACGCTCAGGCACTGGCCATGTTCCAACGTCATTCAGGTCAATGTGGGTGCATCCTGACATCACCTCCTTCCCGACGATATACATTCTTGTTCGATGACGACTTGGGGACAAAACAGCATGGTCCTATTGTCCGGTTCTGACACGCCATACAATCCGATAAACAACACAAGTCTGGCTGGTGTGGTGAGCCTCTGCCTCTGCCTCTCCGCGCTCCACCTGCTCTCACCTGCAGATAATCTCAGTGTTTGACTGGGCTGGAACTCCGCAACCACAACATGCCCAGGGATTATCATGGCATTTGGCAACATAAGTGCGGCCTCTGGAAGATTAGCGAGAGCGGGATTAAGGATACGGAGGCGTCCCGGGACAGTGGCTGGCACCTGTGCGGGATCATTTGAATTATGATATCAGAAGATCAGTGGGTTCACATGGGCACCGGGATGAACTCGAAAGCAATAGAGGCTTTATCAAGAACTAGGGGTAAAGTTATCAATACATAAAACTGATTAGTCTACTATTATTCAAATTAATTGGGATTGTAAAATTTTTTTTTTTCTTCGAACTCCAACCCTTTAAAATGTGTGAAATGTTCAAAACTTTACAGTTCCAAATTGCCATTGTAATGTGTAATATTAGTTCAATTTAACCATTAATATTTTTAGAATATGCAGAAGTAGTCACAAATCTGAATGAGTGTGATCAAACTGGATTTTTTTCCCACGCATTTGAGCAAAATGTGTCTTTTCTCAGTACAGATATATTGTCTGAGCAGCTCTTGAGGTCAAAATAAGTCTCCTGCGCGCTATCTTCATCCTAAAAGAAAGAATTTGTTCGTCGATAATCAGGAGGAGCGCGTTTGCATGATAGTTATCGTCAACTTTACCCTCTCAGCAAAAATACACTGGTCTCAGAGTCTTGAAAAGCACTTACAAACTCATCAGGCGAATCCATAAAGTAATAAAATAAGTGAGGAATAACTTTGAACCACTGCATTTCAATTTTACTAGTTCTGTAATGCAAGTTATTTCTGCTTTTAATGAAAACAAGGAACAAACTTTACCTAACAATTATGAGAACAAAAAAACTATTTGAAGAATGTTAAGAAACTAGTTATTTCCACACAATGTTCTCAAGATAACATCTGCTCTAGGGTGAACTTTGTGATTTGATTTAAAAATGTGAAGATGTAAATGGGAAGTTCAAATGTTGCCAAAGATCACAATGTCAAGAAGATGTGTGCGCGCCATTTCCTGTTAACGGGAAGTAGTGAAATGGATTACATAACAAATGAAAGTTAATATAAAATGAAAATCTACAAAGTAATAACAATACAACTATGAAGAGGTCAATAAAAAGGCTATAAATGTGGTTTAAATGTAGGACAGTGATCTATGTGTTGCAAATAGTTAATGATAATCTTATACACACACATATTTATTATTACACACAGTAGATTTCTGTATAGCACACTTTGCATGCACTGTAAATCATGAAGTATGCATATCTGCTATATAGTAATAAAGCTACTCCCCACGAGTCTCTTTTGTTTTCTGCAAACTTCCTTTTTTGTGCTTCGTGATTCATATCCTTTAGCTGTGAGCATGCACAAACCACAAGATCTGATGTACAGGCCCGTGTCATCTCCAACCACTTTTTAGCACCCTATCTGCTCTTCTCAGCTTAACCTCGCATACATTTTTGGCATGCCGTTACAAAGGAGCCGTGGAAGGTTGGAACGGCTTGGAGCAAGACGTGACTGGTCCTGCAAAGTGAGGGGAAAACACAAGACAGCAAGTAGGGGAAGTTACAGAAATATTACTTGACGCAATGCAGGGGAAGTAATGAGAAAAAAGAAGCTACTTGCAAGCATAGTTTACATGACAAACTAAAGCTGCATATGATTATTGAAAGTTTCTACATATTAATTTTTTTTTTTCCCGCCACACATCAGAATTGTGCAAAAATGTTTGTCTACGGTAGTTTACTGTGTTTGAAAAATGGTTTTAGAAACATTTAACAGATGCCAAGAAAGCAGGCGTGGTAGTTAGTGAGTTCACTCTACATTATTCTTGCAGCAGCACCACTCTGTTACAAAACCAGACTACTGTGCAAAGTCTTCTTCATAGTGTGATGGTGGCCCAAACCTGAAAAATTTGCTTCAAAATAGGTGCCTGTGTTCTCAAATTCAACTAAATACTTCTGACATTTTGAAAGGTGTGACTAGTTACTTTTTAATACCTGCTTCCTCCTTTCGTGGTTTGAAAAATCAGGTCCCTCAGCTGCAAATCTGCAGCTCGAGAACAGTTATGTGGGGGTTGACCCTGAAAAAAACCCTCAAACAAAGCAGTATGTCCCAGGAAGACGTAGAACAAATAGGAAGCTTTTAAAATAGCTGGTGACAAATCTGGGCCTGCGACTGCAGGAAGCCGAGAGAGAATGGGCCCTCCGAGGTGCCATATCAAAGGTCGGACATTCGCTCACTCTTCTGCTCTATAAAGCAAAGGTACAACAAGTGGCTGAGCTAATGCCCAGACTGAATCTCTAAGCAACTGCGACTGTGATATAGGCCCACGTCCGGTACTGCTACACTACAGTTCAAGCAGTACAATTTCCTTTGCAAACCACAAGATATCCTGTGCCACTATTCTGTATCAGAGTGGCAGTTAATTTAAGTTTTCTCCCAAATCTTAAAGCTCCTAGGATGTATATTATAGTAACTCCCAAAACCTGATATCAACCATTACAAGCATAGAGACTGAAAATAGCAATTATTTTCTTAAACCAAGGTCAATTTATGCCAAAACCGAGCCAAATTAATTATATAACTGTATTTAATTCCTCGAGTAACTATTGAAAAATGTGTATAGACACAAACTCAAACATTGTGAGACTTTCTGGGCCGATTATGACCAGTAAATAGTCTTAATGTATCAATTTATAAGTCCAATTATGACATCCACTGAACTTATATTTCAAAGTCGATATCTGATCAAGCACATTTTTTCAGTACTGCAACGATATTTGGTATTGGTGCATCCCTAGTTTAAAATATGCACTTTAAAACAGTGCCCTAAAAAAAAAAAAATTGGCATATTCAAGTTTGCCAAAATTGTTCAGCCCTGCAGGGATGCTTGCAGAACATAGATATCATCAAATCCTTTCACGCATGGCTGAAGCGTTGTGTCATTTATTTATTTATTGTGGTTTATTTATTACTTGCGAATAGCCTGTATATTCCTGCTGTCTGAAATCTCACCAAATTTGTTTGGTTTGGGTTTTACACTACACTATGTCCAGTCAAGGCCATCTGATGGGAATCTGACCCAACAAAAAATGCACATCGTTAACTTCCCCTGAGCCATCGCCCGCGGAAGAGATGCCAGATAGTTTATCGGAATCGGAGAAATAATGTAGGATTTCCCGCAGATCGTCACGGAATAAACCCAGGAAAAGCCTTTTGCACTTGACTTGCGCTCAGTGATGCTGTGTGCGGGCGCTGCACCACCTTGAACCGGCCAAAATGGAGGCAAATTTAGGTGTGTGCCTTCAAGAGAATTGAAAAGTTGTCATCCAGGAAGTAGTGCAGAAATATGGAGCCAAAATCCGTATGCAAAACTTTTACAATGGGTGAAAACTAAACGGAGAGGAATAGACTTGGCGAGATCCGGGTTGAGTAACTTGGGAAAAAGTAATTATGTCCAAAGCAATGGATTAATAATGTGGCTCGCGGCGGCCAGATCACGCTCAATACCCGGAAATGAGTCGTGCTCCTGTGCTCTTTGAGAAAGCGACATTTACGTAAAAACTACACTTGGCAAGAAATCAAACGCATTTATTAGCTTTGGATATAGCCTGGAAAATAATGAATAGCCATAAAAAGCTATTTTTTAAGAAGAATTACTTTTATTCGCTGATCTAGACATTTCCCCACACATGCCGCTCTCCAGGTTACAAAGTTCAGAGCTAGCGGGGAAAGTTTCGAAACAAAGCTCGAATCTGCATAAATATAATAATTAATGGAAGGACTCAAGACTGGGCAAAGTATTGATGAGCTCTTACCGTTAAACCGGAGAAAGGAAACGGTCTCCTGTGAGCACGGAGAGAAGGGTGCGTGAGGCGGGGAGCAAAGTCTGAGCGAGGCGAGCTCCGGACAGAACCGGAAATACGCCCGGAAATGCCTTCAAAATAAAAGTCTCAACACACAGCGATAGTATTTTACATTAAAAATACAGTAATTAATAATTTAAACAACACAATTTAAAATATTAATAAAAAAATAACTAATTCCATGTACCACGCACGAGTATCAAATTATTCATGTATTAATGCAATACACAGTGTTGGGAAGGTTACTTTTAAAATGTATTCCCCTACAGATTACAGACCTCAAAATGTAGTTTGTAACGTAATCCATTAAATTATTTAAATTGAGTAACGTAATCTGAATACTTTGGATTACTTGATTTGCTGTAGAGAAGCAAAGACTAGGATATCGTAACATAAGATGTTTTGTCTGCTAAAAGACAATAAAAAGCTCAGACTTTACTCAACCAAATAAAAAAAAATTATTGATAGAAGAGGAGGAGACATGGTCCGCACAGCATGGTTTAGTACTGTTAAAGCCTGGTTTAGTCCTGTTTTAGTTCTGTTTTAGTCCTGGTTTAGACCTGGTTTAGACCTGGTTTAGTCCTGTTAAATCCTGGTTTAGTCCTGTTTTAGTCCTGTTTAATCCTGGTTTAGTCCTGGTTTAGCTTCTGGCAATGAGTGGAATTACCGAGAAAAAAAAAAAAAGGATTTAGCCCAAAATGTGAAAACAGGAAAATACCGCAGTGTAATCCATTTATTTCAACAAAGTAACTGTAATCCAATTACCACTCACTGAAACAGTAACTGTAACTGAATACAGTTACTCATCATTTGTACTCTGATTACGTAACTCCGATACATGTAATCTGTTACTCTCCAACACTGGCAATACATAGCGCTATTCTTCAGCCTAATTAAAAAGCATAAAAGTAAAGTATACTTAACAGGCGTCTGTCAAAGTATTTTATCATACGTTAAGGGTACATATTCAACAGCACTAGAGCCCGAAATCTGTATTTTATACTAAACTGCATCCTAAAAAAGTGTGCCCACAGATGTATGAGTTCTCAGTCTTTCCACCAAAGACTGTTAGCAGTACTCTGCCACCTAGCTGCATATATCTGAACTACAATACAGATTAAAATGGATAGTCCAATGAGATTCATTTGACCTTCCGGTAATTTATGTCATTAGGGTTTTTTTTTTTCAGACCTGACATCACGTGACCATTCTGAGGAAGACACTAGTGAGCAGTCAAAACTGTCAGGCATGAAAACAAACTCTCGGTCTGAAGGGGAGGAAAAAAAAAAAAAAAAAAAAAAAGCCTAACAACATAGTTCAGGATAGCATAGCATAGAGATTCATGTGCAAGTTAAATACACCCTAATAATTTTTGGTAGAGGCTGTGAATGGTAAAGTGACATTTCCCAATCCTACATTATCATTTTCCTTAAGATAGTTGAAACAATAAGTTTGGCTCATATCCCATCCTTTTTACCAAAAACAACAAGACAAAGAATTGGCAACTTAGCAGGTTTTATTACAAGTCTTTCACTACAGGGTGAGGATAAACTGAGCTTTTCCAGCATCAAATTACCTACTGCCAAAACATGTGAGAAACAAAAATACAGGTAAAAAAACACTTTGGAGTATTTAAAAGAAGAGGTCGGAACAATTGCAATCACACCAGACACAACCATGTGTAAAATATTCTGCACAATTTAACAAGTGTCCCTTCGTGCAGAGAGGGGACAAGAACAGGAGAAGCACGGCTTAACTCGTGTCCATCTGCAAAGACAAAACAAACCGTCAAGTCTCTAGTTTTTCACACAGCATACATGAAATGCCCATTAACACTTACTCTGGCATTGTAGGCGTCTAACTGGGCATCAAGTTCTTCTGCCGACAACTGTTGCCTGCTAGGTCCTCCACCACCACGTCCGCCCCTCCCCCGTCCTCTGGCACCACCAGCTCCTCTGCCTCCTCGCCTGTTCTGCATGCCACCAAATCCACCACGACCTTTGTTCATGCCACCGCCTCGACTGACACTACAAGAGAAAAAAAAAAGTTTAATACAACATACTTTGGAGAGCTACACTTTAAGCATATATTAAACATCAACTCACCCCTGCATCGGTCGCCTCTGTGTGTCAATTTGTGATGTGACGAGCTGTATGTTCATGGGTCGGCCTTCAAGGAAAATAAAGTCCTTAGAAACCAAAAAATTTTATACACTTAAATACATTTTATCCTTTTGTTTGTCAAGCCTACCGTCAAGTGGGATTCCGTTGTATTGCTTCATTGCCTTCAGAGCGTCTGCTCTCCTTTCAAAATGAACATCTGCAGTTCCCAAGCTTCTGCCAGAGCGGTCGTAATGGACTGCAGCCTTTTTTAACGTTCCAAATTCAGCAAAAAGCTCCTATAGAAGAAGAATACACAAACATTGCATTAGGAGACGAACCCTGTTAATTCTTAGCTGTGATGCACACCACAAAACTACCTGAATATCTGCATCTGAGACACCGAAGTCGAGATTGGAAACCAGTAGCTTTCCGCCCGTTTCGACACCAGCACCACCGCCTCCAGCTGCTCCGTTGAATCCGCCGAAGCTGTTGTCATACATGTCGTGCTGCCACTTGTCTGGAAGCTGTTTGGGCTGCAACAGATGAAAGAGAACGCACCTGCTGACTTCAGGATCCCCTTGTCCCTGTCATTCACAGAGTCCACACGGCTGGGTGTTGGGGCAAGCAGGGGCTCCACATCCAACAGGACCAAGGTGCTCACTCAGATCCCAAAGACGCAACCCCAATGTTCCCTGCCCACCCCATCACAACAAGCAAGTGACAGACACAGGGAACACATACAGAAGTACAAAAGGGGTGTTTTGTACATACATTTCTATGACTGTAAATGACGTTTATTCTATATAAAAGATAAACTGTCAATAGCCCCAAACTTTAACATTTTCCCACCCAGCTAACAAACAACTCCCGCTGTACTCTTGCCATTAGCGCCTCCAACAAAGGCCCTCCAGAACTGATCCAGGTACAGGGCGTCCCGTCTGATCAGCGTCGCCTCCAGCGGTGCACTGGGTTCGCCTCGTCCCCGATCACAGTTCATTCCAAAGCCAAAAAAAATGGGCCATGGTGGAGAAATGTCCATATAAAGCAGATGAGGGGAAACTAGAACACTGCCAGCTATCGCTGATACGTGGATTATCACAGCGTCCATTTTGAGATCACGCCATTTTGGCTGGGCCTTTGTTACTCATTCAACAGATGCTCAGCTGAAATTCCAATTGAACAATGCCTTATGTGAAAGCTATGAAGGAGTTGAAGTCCACTCATCCTTTGTAAAACTGTAGGTGAAAAGCCACTGTTGTGAAACACGGCCGCCACTCCCGAACAAAAGGCCGCCCGGTCGTTTCACCAAGAACACAAAAACTACTCTCCAAAAGCTGAGCAAAAAGCACGTGGCAGATGAAGTGGTCTCGTAAACAAATTGAGACTGGTGTAAAAAACATTTCTACTGCTCTCGGTCGGCTATCTTTTATTCAAAAGCTGGCTTCAAAATGGCGCTGGGAAGGCCTCCGCGTTCCAACTTTAGCTACCGTAGTTAGCCGCATGGCTAGCGCTAGCCCTCTTCAAAGGCCCCTCAAACGACGATGCTCTGATGTTGTGGTAGAAGGGCAGACTATTCAAACAATTGCTTTATTGCTCAAGAGCATTTTTAAAGTGAGCCTCAGTGGAGAGGGTTTGGGCAGTGACATATTGGCATAACCAGCGAGCTGGCTACAGGTTAGCTAGCAAGCCTACTGGAGAACAGAAGGATTTAACCCGGGCATTGAGGTTTGCCTACGGGTTTCCATAATCTGCCCATTCCTTTAATTTTCATACCCTGCTATAAGGCGTTGGTCTGCCCCGGGCGCGGTTCAGGTTCTGTCGGTTCCTCATGGGGCCGGATCCGCCGCCTCGGCCTCCAAATCCTCCGCCACCTCCTCCTCCAAGACGGCCAGCGCCACCGCGGCCGCCGCCAGAGCCTCCGCGGCCACGGCCTCTTCCTCCGCGGTTTCCACCACCTCGCCTGTTCTGCTTGATAATGTCGTCTAAAGACATATCCATCTTATCAACCATTATTGCTGCCCAACAACGCTAAAATTAAAAACAAGCTAGCTCAACTGGTCCCTTCCTCAGCTCTGGTGTCTCGACGATCTGCAGACTGCACTCCAACGACAAACAAGGAAGGCGCGGAGGTTTATATAAAGACACCATTACGTAATACGCGTATGCTCCACGTCACCACGTCTCACGTTTAACGCTCATTTTTTAAATCAGATTTTAGTAAAACAAACTGTCTGACTATAACAAAGAACACTAGAGTTGTAGATTTAAATTTATATTTCTAATTAAATCATATCTTACTTGCATACCACAGGAGGCCTCGCTAGTGTGATACTGGTGTTTCTTAGTAGTTATGTATGGATCTAAGATGATAATAAGCATAAACAGGGTTACTGTAAAAAATGTTTATTCAATTCCGTTCCAAGACTTGGGGTCATAAACCAAAGGTGGAGTACTGGACAGTAAACTCTAGGAAATAAAAGTCCATTTTAGCGGAAAGGAAATGTTTAGAATAAAAATGTTGGCCTTTTAGGATGGATTTGGCTTTCTGATATCCAATGTGGTCTTTAAAATATCCAAGGTGGCCTATTAAATATGCAACTAATGCTCAAAAAACAACTAAAATAGTCAGCCCTTTGTATTTCTTCCAAGGTCATCAGAGTTGCAAAAGTAAATGTTTTAAACTGCAGTCTTGTCCTGTTACGACCCAAGCTTGCTGTTCAACATCCGATAGTCCATTTAAAATAATGTACATGTCACGGATTTAGAAATTAAATAAAAATGGAAAAGTTGAATTAATCCTTATAATCCAAGTTTTTCAGGCAGGTGTGATCCAAAGATAAAATACTGACTTTCTGCATGACCAAGAGGGCTGACTTTCAGGATGACAAAGGCTGATGGAGATCAAATTCAAGAAAAATGGTTGGGAAAAGCTTTTCAATTATCATGCGACTAGGATTTCTTGGAGTCCTGTGTGTTGCGTTTCTTGAGATCACTCAGGTCCACTGGTGTAAAAGCTAAAACAGAAAGTGAAAATAAATAAGAATATAAAGCAGCAACTTCAGTTAAACTTCATTACCTGACAACTAATACAGGCAACCAGAGACATGAACTTACAATGCAGATTTGGGTTTGGATTCTTCTCAACATATTCTTGTGGGCCACGGTCGTTGCGTTCACTATTTGGCGTTGAACGGATATCCTTGAGCACACACAGCCAAGCTAAGAAAAAAAAAAACATTAATATACAAGACGTTTTGTAAATATTGTTTAGAATAATTTCAATGAGATATTTGAGCATTTTTGTGATTTATTATGCCAGTCATTCCAAATATAAAGCAATTCACTTACTGTCATTGATAAATCGCACATTTTCCTCATGTGCTGGGGTGAAAAGTTCCCCGGTGTTAGTGGGAGATCGAGGGCTTGAGGTCCGCTTGTAACTGTTCACCATCCTGGGAGCAGATGAGCTAAAAAAAAAAAAGCAGAAAATACAATATTGTCAATCTAATCACTATATGTATGCATCTAATTACATTTTCTGACATGCAAAATTTTAAATATTATTGAAAGAGCGTGTAGTTATATTAATTACAGTCGAGTTTTGTCTTACCTGGTCATTCTGTTTGTACTCGCTCTTTGCTCCTTTGTGGTGGGTGGATGAGAAGAATAAAAAGTGTACAGTTGAAGTCTGCTCAAACAAACAAAACAAAAAATCTGTAAATTAATTGCACAGACATTGCAAACATTATAGAATTTATGTTTGAGATAGTTTAGTATAACAGTTTTACCAATTTATCGATTAGGCAGACTTTTAGACAGCACTAAGGTTCAGATTAATCAATAAGTCTAAACGACAGCTACCAGGATGCACAGTGTTGGGGAGTAATGGATTACATGTACCAGAGTTACGTAATCAGAGTACAAATTATGAGTAACTGTATTCAGTTACAGTTACTGTTTCAGTGAGTGGTAATTGGATTACAGTTACTTGGTTACTTGGTAAATGGATTACACAGAGGTATATTCCTGTTTTCACATTTTGGGCTATATCCCCTTTTTTTTCGGTAATTCTACTCATTGCCGGACACTAAACCAGGTCTAAAACCAGGTCTAAACCAGGTCTAAACCAGATCTAAAGCCAGGTCTAAACCAGGACCAAACCAGGACTAAACCAGGACTAAACCAAGACTAAACCAGGTCTAAAACCAGGTCTAAACCAGGACTAAGCCAGGTCTAAACTAGGTCTAAACTAGGACTAAACCAGGACTAAAACCAGGTCTAAACCAGGTCCAAACCAGGTCTAAACCAGGACTAAACCAGGACTAAACCAAGAATAAACCATGTCTCAAACAGAATTTAACAGGACTAAATCATGCTGCGTGGACCGTGTCTCCTCCTCTTCTATCAATAATATTTTTAATTTGGTTAAGTAAAGTCTGGGCTTTTCATTGTCTTTTATCAGACAAAACATCTCATGTGAAGATTTCCTCGTCTTTGCTTCTCTACAGCAAGTAATCCAAAGTATTCAGATTACGTTACTCACTTTAAGTAATTTAATGGATTACAAACTACATTTTGGGGTATGTAATCTGTAATCTGTAGGGGAATACATTTTAAAAATAACCTTCCCAACACTGAGGATGCATTTGTTTACGTTTTAGGCTAAATCGGCTAGCCCAACAATGTCAACAACAATCCCCGCAGACCGAAGATCAGATCACTAACAAACAAATGACGAATCAAGATACTGTTTTGAGTGTAACAATTTGTGATTAGTGCATCAATAACCGACATGTCCACGTCTATCTATAGATCTGCTGACACAAACATTCAAGCCTGTGCTAGCGGATGGTACATTGTCTAGCCTAGCTCCGAACAGCGCTAATGTTTATCTGCCGCTGCTCTCACTACACGCCAGAAACAAACTACTTTTATCGGTTTGATTTCGCATAGTAAAGGGCTCTGATATCGAAATATTAAACGTACCCTCGATCCACGGATTCTCCTGCTTTTATCAGAAGCTCAGCTGTAAACGCCGTGAAGCCTGGCTAAACGTTGCCAATGCCAACCAATCACTTCCGGCACAGAAACACGGAAGTGGAAAAAAATAATAAAAATAATAATAATAATAATAAATATATAAAATAAAAATAAAGACACTAGAGCAATCTATAAAAATAAGTTTTATTTTATATGCATAAATTGAATGTATGTATGTATTCATGTACGTATTTATTATTTATATTTCAGCCGCTCACTTAGGCGCCAGATGATTTTGGCAAGTACCACTTTACTTATAGGCTATCCGTTTAGTAAGACATTGTATTACAGTAAGCTGGTATTAGGCATGCTTACCTGAATTAAAAAGGATACTGTATGAATGAATAATTCATTCCAGCCAGTAAATAATGTACATAAATGTTGTACAACATTGGATGTGAAGACAAGAAACATGTCTGGTTATAGAAGTTAGAATGAGCACAGAAATTCATTTAACCTATATCTTATCTAATATCTCTAAAACAAATAGAATAAGAATAAGACAATTCAAAGATTGTTAGAAGTGACTGTAGTCGACCCTTAAAATAGATTAAAGGCCAAGTCACAGCAAACTGAGGAAGGAAAACATCCTTGTTGTCCGTGGAAAACAAGGAAAGCTCCCCCACTATCCTAACCCTCATCCTTTTTGGAGGTGTTGTGGAGAAGAAAGTATTATATTTATGTTTCAAATGCAGTGAAGTAAAAGTCATAGGCTACCTAAAATACAACTGTAGAAAATGCAAATCTTGAGTACTTGAGCATGCTATTTATGTAAACTGATTAATTACTGACCTCCTCTAGCTAAATGTTGCCTATACTTTCAAGACCTGCATGCTGTATTAGGATTTAATTTTTTACATTGGCTTAAATCATAAAATAACACACAATTTTATTATTATTATTTTGTAAAATGTCTTTATTTATGAAAACGTACAAAAATATGTATTGCACTGGAAATCATAAGACTTTGAAAGGACTGTACAGATGAATTATACACAGTAGGTGAAGTGCATGGATAACAATTATTTTTACTTCCAATCTACCAGTAAAGTGTCAGTCATGAGTTCCTCCTCCTGCCCAGCAGAAAGAGAAACATTTTGTTATAAGACGACATGGCTCAAATTCTGTGTCAATTCAGTAGAAACATAAAAAACAAATCACTTGGTCTGCAAAAGAAGAAGTACAACTACGCTAGTACAACTCACATAATACCCAAGTTTAACATATACTTTTCAAACAAGCAAAATAATATAGCTTTACAGTGGCAGTGACCTGGTGACATATATAAATATACAATGTCTTCAAGTGTCTCTTTTCACACGCAGCCAGTTTCAAACAGTTTGGCCAACTCTTGGCACTCCGGGTCAATAAGATCCGCCGGTTTCTCTCCGTTTTCATTCTCCGTCTCTGTGCTGGCTCCCATCGCCAACAGATACCTGCACGTCAAAAATAACATGAGATACTGCAAAACCTCAACGCATTTTCACATCGATAATTTGTGAATCTCTTACCTGGCAATTTCAGGATAACCGTCACTGCACGCCATATGCAACGGCGTCCAACCATCTTCATCCCTTTGGTGAACATCTGCTCCATACTTCACCAGCAACTTCACGACTTCAAGGTTCCCCGTGAGCACTGCCTCATGCAACGCTGCCATACCTGCACAGAAATCCAACCATCTTTACCAAAAAAACCTCAACCTAAAGTCTATCTTCAAACAATCCATGCCAAGACTTCTTACCTGAATGAAACAACGTATCCACACGGACTTTCCTCGCTCGCATGAACCTTCCGATTTGCTCCAGATCTCCTCTTCGGACGATATCCTGGAAGACGATATCGTTGGGAAAATGCACTGTCCGTTTGGCGGGTGTTTCCGGTACAATAACTGGCGATGGAGGTTTTTCTTGAGCCTGTGCACGGCGTGTCGAAGTGTACCGGGAAGTCTTGGTGGTGTACGATGAAGGGACGTAGCTAGAAGCAGTCTTGTAGCTGGAAGAATAGCTGCTGGGCATGTAGTGTGTTGAGCTGTATTGCGTCGGAGAATACTTTGTCAAAGAAGTATAGGAGGACGTGGTTAAACTAGGTGTGTAGTGTGAAGTAGGGGTGTAGTGGCTTGCAGAATGGTAGCTCGGCGTGTACTGAGATGCCCGGGTATACGAAGACCCCGTTATGTGGTAGTTGTACTTCATCCTCGCAGTTATGGTTAGACCTCCTCCTACGAGTAAATGTCCAGGAGAAGAACTGATATCCAAAAGTTTAAAAGCACAAACAATCCAATTATAGAATCCTTTTGGTTTTCACAGCTGTTCCGTTTTAGGATTAGCGGCTCAACATTGCATTTTAAATCCAAAGTGAGTCCGATTCCAACTTCTCGAACAGTTTTTCACTCTTGCATTCCATTTGTGTGTAGAGTCTGGCTTTGCAGATGCACAGAAGTGATGGTACAAGCAAGACGGGGTCGCTATATACCCTCTGCTGGGGCTATTTTGAGGGGGGAGATCTAGTGACTTCAGCTTTGAAATGAGTGGCCAAGGCGCTGACCCTCCCTCCCACCAGGGGGTCACATGTTCGGTGACATGACAGCACCGCTTGTCCATAAAAATGTTGACAACTAAAATGTTCCTTGCGAATGTACATGGCTGAGAAGCTGTGGCAAACAGCTAAATATCAAGGGTACTGCAGTTTAGAATGTCCATGTGGTCATTTTGTTTTTGTTTATAAATGTATCTGGGTTAGTCCTGATGTTGTGTATTAGTTCAGAATGGGGATGATCCTGTTGTTTTACAAAGTTTTTGGACTAAAAATTAAGCTCTGAATACTGATTTTGGTTTAGGCATGGTTTACACTTAATTTCGTCCTAGTTATGTCCTAGTTTAAAGGTCTTGTATTACACAAAACTGACTCTTGTGAGCTTTAAGCCATGTTGTAATGCTGTTGCCTCCTCAAAAACATACCTGGAGCTGTGTTTTGTAATCCTGCTTTATTAGTTTGTTTACATCTCCAAAAGCTCAAAATGTTCTGTTCCATCTTATGGTCTCATGAACCTGTAGTTTTCAAGTTAACAGCTACTTTTACCTTCAGTTCAGTCGAGATGTGCAATTCCAGGACTGAAATTATCCAGATGAGTTGTATGGAGTTTACAAAACACATGGAGCACTTACTGTATTACCACATGACATCACAAGGTGGAACAGAGTGTTCATTTGGGTTAAACATGTGCGAATGAAACAAAACTCCTGATATGTTTGTGATGATGAAGAAACATTATGACATAGATCAGAAAATATTGTAATGTGGGCACTTTAATCCTGGTCTGGACGGTGTTTGGACCTGGTTTAATCCTGGTCTAGACCTGGTTTAGCCCTGATAGAAAGCCAAATTCTTTAAATTTGTGCAATAGATCCTCCATTTATCCTCAACCATAAATTGTAGACGTGAAAAAAAGTTTGAAAATCAGTGCAAAATACAGTATACTAATCCAATTTCATTTATAACAAAATTCTGACACAATTTTATCACAAAATTTCAAATAACTCTTCTGTGTTGATGAAGAACAGCCCTGTATTGTGGATTTTGAAATGAAAACATGGCCGCCAAAAGAAATAGTCAGTGCCCGTAATTGGACATGTTTGTTTTGGTTTGCCCTGTTTATTCATGGCGTTCCTTGTGCGCCTCTTCGACCCCTGGCATGTCATGTGACTTGTCTGCGCTCGACCTTTGACCCTGAACCAGATCCTCCAGTAAAAGCTAAACGGTTGGCATACAGGAGGAGAGAGACATTTGAGCCAGTCGGGTCTCACCAAATAGCCTGGAATGGTGGAAGAGAACCAAAAATACATCTATATCGACAATGCTGTTTAGCCATAAGCAGGCATGGTTGTTCAAGGATATTTTCTTCAGCATATAAATACGGTATACTTTTTTTAAAATTGCAAACTGGGTCTCTGCATTTGACCCATTCTTTAAGGCCACTGAGGACATCTGTCAGGAGCAGTGCCCATCTCCACTTCTTGAGCTGTAGGTTTGGTCAGGACTACTTTATTTTACTTATAGGTTAAAGTCATAGAACTATAATAAACTCTGGAAGGTGAACCCAAGATGGTGTTGTATTGTTTTCAATTGCTTGTGGTCAGTGGTACTAGCCTGATTCATCAGCTGGTTTCACTTTGTGGAAACCGTCTGACCTTGCAGCATTGGGATTCATTCGCTCGACAATAGGCGGGTACTTTTTATAATTTAACCAATTGCATATGTAATATGTAATGTGCCAAATCTCATAGGAAGAAGGGCAATAATGTCTTTCCTCTTGATAATATTCACCAAACATTCTCTTTGTTCCAGTTTTAAATTCTCGGGAATCGTTGCCAACACAGAATGTCTGTCTTCGTCTACATCAGGGGTGTCAAACTCATTTTGGTCCGGGGGCCGTATCCAACCTACTTTGATCCCAAAGGGGCCGGATCAGAAAATTCATGTCATATAAACCCCAAAATAACAATAAGTTCAAATATTTGTGCAGAGAAATGCAAATCTATTACAGACATCTTTTTTAATCGATGAACTCTTTCTGATTATAAAATTATAATATTATGAACAACCTGAAACTTTAAGAAAAATTCAATTTCAACATTTAAAATATTTTAATAGAAAATCACCCAAGGGCCACATTAAAGGTCTTGGAGGGCCGGATCTGGCCCCCGGGCCTTATGTTTGACACCTGTGGTCTACATCCATCTTGACCGCTTTGTTTACTGTTGTGCTGTTCCACAAAAGGGACACAGACAGGCGCTTGAGTTTCATGTCATGGCTTCACAGCTCTTCACTGATTGGCCGGTGCGCAGTCTACAACTTCTAGGGTTCTTGCAAATCATTTAGTGTATTCTAATTCCTGGCCTAGTCACTGGAGAGAAATGCAATTGAGTGCAGGCACTAGGTGGCACCAACCTGGCTTTTGCTCAATGGTGCATGGGCCCAAATTTTTTTTCTCTTTCGCATTTACTTCCTCAGTAGGGGCTAGTCTTACAAAGTCTAAGTCTAAGGCTAAGTCTTACAAAGCTAACTTTTAGGTACTTTTTGATTTAAACATTTTTAAAGATTATGTTGTGAAAATAGAAAAGAATCCCTGCAAAATCCAACCTTTGTGAAAGTTGTGGATGCCCTGTCAGCCGAACACGGACAGTTTGAATTCCCAAAAATGCACTGTGCTTCTATGGGAGAATTTCTTTCTGGGCCCAAGCTCCCGGGAGCTGCAGTACCTGGTGCAGCCACTACTCTGTCTCGAGTTGGGACAGAGGGGGAATGCCCTATCCAGTTTTTATTTTAGATCCATGGTTACAGTGGCTTAGTTGCTGGAGCGTTTGTCCACTTATACTAAGATTAGTGGTTCGAATCCCGCTCTTGACATAAGTTTCATTAAAAGGTCACTGCCACTGACGAGCAGGTTGGCGGTGTGATTCCACCTACCCCAGATGAGTACTCTCATTGTGTCCTAAGGCAAAACACTTAACCCACCTTACCCCCAGTGTCTGCGTACTGGTGTGTGAATGGGTGAGTGTTTTTTTTTTTATGTAATGTAGTTGAAGGTAGAAATGCACTATATAAAAATCTGACCTTTTACCATAGGCTTCAGAATGACGACAAATAAAGACTGTTGCCATAGCAATTAACAATTTAAAACAAGTCTTCAAATGGTTGCGCATACCAGGAATGCTGAAACTTGTGAATCTGTACATATTTTGATGAAGGAATCCAGAAGAAACCCACCCAGATACAAGAAAAACACGCAAACTCTACGCAGAAAAGCCCGGGTGGGAGTTGAACCAGAGACCTTACAGTGGCCCCTAACAGTATTCTCCACTGGGGCTTTCAAAAGTCCTGAAGAGGCCACAGTGGTGTGAACATGCAGCTATAGGCGAGAATTATTAACATGGTATATTGAAGGCGTAGTCACGGATACTGGATATAACTGACGCTGAGCAAAGAGCATTGACATTTTCGCTTTTATTTTAAGACACTAATTAAACTCAAGTGTGCCCTTTAATTACGGACTGTTCTCAAGTTAGATGCATGCTTGCCAGTGAGATCCAAATAAGCATCTGATGCTTGTGTAAAAAAGATCATGTATGTGATATAATTAGTGCAAGAGAGGGCAGAGGAGTAGGAGGCGATGTCTAGACAAATCAAACTTAGAAAATGTGTAGGTCAAGGAGCTTTTGGGCTGAAGTGGTCAGATTTCAGTCTCTTACATGCAGTGGTGGAACATAATGAATTAGAAGTAGTAAAGTATTGTGCTTAAGTAAAACATTTAGGTAGCTGTACTTTACTTAAAGGTCCAATATTACACAAAACTGACTATTGTGAGCTTTAAGTCATGTTATAATGTTGTTACCTCCTAAAAAATATGTCTAGAGTTGTGTTTTGTTTCATTCACACATGTTTGAGTAAGTCTGGTTTATTAGTCTGTCTGTCTCCAAAGTTCAGAATGCTCTGTTCTGTTGTGAAGTGGTAGTTTTCAAGTTAACAGCTACCTTTTACCTTTTAGTTCAGTAGAGATTGGCAATTCCTGGGCTGAAATTATCCAAATGATTCTCGTGAAGGTGTGTGGAGTTTAAAAACACTGTGGAGCACTTCCTGTATTACAACATGACATCACAAGGTGGAACAGAGTGTTTTAATTTGAGAGAGAAAAAGTCTGTGTAAATATGCAGAGTTTGTGTGTTAAACATGTGTGAATGAAACTATTAAACTATTAAGTATATTTTAAAGTGGATATTTTTCACTTTTACTTCACTAAATGTTTGAACAGGAGTAAACAAGTAAATGTATTTTTTATTGTTGTTTGAGACCTGCAAAATACTTAAAAAAATATTTAAGTACATTTTATTTTTTTATTATTTATTTATTTTATTTTATTTATTTATTTATTTATTATTTTATTCATTTATTTATTTGTAAAGGGACAGCACATATTAATGAACATTTAAAATATAAATATGCAGAGATTACAGCCAGCGTGACAGGTTGATGTGAAATCATCTACAGGACAGGGAAAAGTACAGCAACAATCACACAAAAGTACTCAAAACCAACACACTCACTATACTTTAATATTTTTACTTAAGTGGATTTGTTCATGTGATACTTTAACTTGAGTATTTTTTGCTTCTGCGTCTGTACTTTACATAACTAAACTGAGTACTTCTTCCAGCGGTACTTATATGGCCTGGCGCTCATGCACTGCGAGAGCCGGGGCCGGGGCGTCCCTGAGCTATGTGCCCGGTCTCCATGACAACGCACGCACCAATAAAACGACAAGACCCCGGTGCGGTAAATGTTTGTTTGCTAACGCCATAGCGCCCGGGCCTAGCGGGGACAGATGCACAAGATGGATTAATAAAACATAACTTAACTCTGTCTGTT